GGCTGTGACTCTACTAAAATTCGCAAAATAGTAAAGCTGAACAATTTATAAACATATTACGTCCTGTTTCCAATCCCTTTTGAATTTATCAACCTTTTTGTCAATTTTCGCATGTTTTTAGCCCATCACGTTTATCACGTAATGGTATCCAGTTTTACTTATCACAGTCATGCATACAAGTGTAATGTATAATACGAAGTAGATGCATTATTTTTATGTCATATGTATGTGATAAAAATCTTATTTGTTTATACTCGGCGCGCCATGAGTCGCGTCGACAAAAAGGCGTCGGCCACAGGCGCCCGTTTTCGCGAAAACGCCGCGGTACGCAATGGGTTAACTGCGTTGCGCTGAGTGTTAGATATCTCGGTTAGGCGTGGCGCCAGCCCTTCCTTAAGCAAGTGTTGACGTGAATAAGCGACAACATTGCGGCCCATCCGGCCCAGGGCACGCCATCGCGTTGTGATAAATTCCTGAGAGATACGAACCCCTCCCCAGTTCCATCGTGCGACCCCCCTCCCCTCCCCACTCTACCTACCACTGTCCCAACTTCTTACCACTTTTTTTGGAATTTCCAGGAAATTTCTTAGCTTTTAGCCAAAAATTTTGCTATCGACGAACGGGGGGGGGGGGAGGGAGGAACTAACTACTATTTTCCTATCGGAAATGGTAGTTGTATGAATCTTCGGCAGTGCCGCCAACTAGGAGGTATATAACACCAGTGAAACGCAAAAAAACCGCAAAAAGCCAACAACCGGAAAAGTTTTTTCCCAACGCCGCAAATTCCTCTTGAAGACAAATACGACCCCCCTCCCTCCCTCGCGTCAAATACGACTCCCGTTGCGATTATCACAATGATGACGTGCCCTGATCCGCCCTCTCCCTCCCCTCCCCGTGACAAGCTCCAGCATGCGCAGTGACTAGACTGTATGTATGGATACATGCATGCAGCGCAACAGTCTTGGTTGTATATTATGAGAGTGTCAGTGTCGATGGGCATGACACTACCGATGCTTGGAAACGATCGTTTTGGAGGAAAAGCGGTGAAATGTGGGGTCTTGCTGAGTTTACTCAAATGGCTTTTCGCGATAAACATCTTCATCGTTTGCTCGGCCTACCTTAGGCTGCGTTCATACTTTGCGGCAGCATACCCTGGCGTATCGTGCCTCATAAATTTATCTGCACAAACGGAAATCAGCCTGTATTTGGCTGCTCACGAAAGGCAGCGTGCCGCGAAGGCACGGTGAAAACGGCATTGCAGATGACGCGAGAGAGTATATCGAAAGTAATGAGGAGTCATCCTGCAGCCACGTACAGTATTCCAGGATAGTGTAAATCCTTGCCACTTGAGCAAGTAGCCTACTCAACGTTACCGGTAAGCATTTCGACCGTACTATAGTCACGGGTGAGACGAAGGATTTGGTTCATGAACGTTCGGCACCCCTGTGATTTACAAACAAAGTGCTTGCTCGCTCCAAAACACCTGGTAATGAACAAAATTTTGCTGCAATTATTCCTATTGCTATAGGGATCTCGAAGAGAATTCAAGATGTGTCACGTCAGAATTCCATGTCATTCAAAGGATAGTCCGCAGTAATTGCGTGGGCAGAGGGAACGACCATTGTGCCCTCATTACTGGCATACTCACTTGTCTCACTTGTCACTTGTCTCGCTCTCTTTACTGCTCTAGAGGTAGGGATGAACCGTTGAGAATGACGCAATGGCTCCCTGTTTCCGCCCATGCGATCATCGTTCAATCAGCCCTTTCATTTCTTCCTGCAATAATTCTTTCTAGGTGGGAGACAATTCGATGGTGAATCTGTTTCCAATACTGGTCGGTGATGTTCCAGAAGCTTTGGAAGAGCCAATGAACGACACTAGTGGTGACATCAATACGCAATGGATTTTGCCCAGGGAAAAGAAACTGGACCCATCAAAGCTGCCGATTTTGTGGAAAATGATGCAAGAAAGTTCGTGCCATTATTGATACACCACAGATTACTTCCAAATTTTTCTTTACAGAGTTCGGTTGCCGTACGATGCTAAACGATGACATGGCCCACATTGCACGTGGAATGTTCCACTATCCTGACGCTGAATTCTATCGAGGTTTCAGCTCTCAACCGACTGATCACTACTATCGAGCATTTTACAATTCTATTTATAAGGTATGTTTTCAACAAAAAAAAAACCAAATTCAGACAGACTTTATAAGATAGCTGAGAAAGCTTTTAGTTGTCCAAAAGATCGCGTTGCGTTTTCGCTTGTTTCGCTTTCGTCGCCGAAGCGCTAGTACTGGTGATCAGCTGTGATTCTTTTCCCACAGCGGAGACACGGAAACTTTCATCTCTTCTA